TCTTGCCCCAGACAGCCAGGCTTTTCGCTGCCTCGTTCTGCTCGAGTGCCAAATTATTCAGATTGTTCCATACATTTCTTTCTATAGCAAAATAGGTTAGTAAGATATTAATCAACGACGGGTACAGTTTTCTATGGAAAGGCCACTTTCTGTGTGTTATTATTACCTACTGCAATGCTGTGACTCAAATGTTTCATATCAGCGCTGACTACATTACGAAAAACGAAAGCAGACCCAAAGAATTAGTTAATACGCGTGAGGACCAAACTATTGTATGCTCAGAAAAGGGCTATCAGACAACCTAGTGGATTCACTTGAGTCAAGTTACGACGCAAGTCGTTTCTGACATTGTCTAAATTGAGGTTCCTAATTGCTTTCATGGCAAGGTATTTTTCATAGTTGGGCACCCTTCGGCTCAAACGTGCCCGGTATTTACGTTACCAGTACGTAGTGCGACAAACTCAGTCCCGTGCCTCATGATAATCGTTGTATTGTGGTTATATAGTAATAGTATTTAGAAAAACGACAATAGTAATAGTGGACAAATCATGGTGTGCAGGACAGTTAACTATGATGGGAAATTTATTTACTTATAACGACTGACAATTATGGGTAAGCATATTTAGTATGTTTGTCCATAAGGGACTATAATGGAATACTCTAAACATACTCTGATGAATACTAATCAATCAAACAACTATAATACAAATACTGACGGTCACAAAATTAGCAAATCAATTCATTTAGCATTAGGCGGATTTGGCTCATCCTACTATTACTACGTGATATTCGTGTGATTAGCCGCTATATACACTGCTTCGAGAGTGTTCTCAGCCAACCAGCACCTTTACAGAGCGAAACTCTTGCTAACTGAAATCTAACTGTAATCTGACCGTATAAGTCAATCGCCATAAATTCTGTAACAATTCTATAACGCCGTGAGTTAGTGAAATTTGACTTTTTTAGCCGTACAGTGCTCGGCGGTTTTACAAGAACGGAATGGCTAATCTAACACCAACAAGCTAATACTAAGGTTTGTTCAAGTAAAAACGTAATGTAATTGGTGGTACAGTTGACTCGGTTTATGCCGAAAGAGTTGGCGTAGCTCTCTATGTCCAGTATACGGAAAGTTATAAGACATGCCGGTATAAACAAAAAACTGTCATATGAAACGAACGGTGCGCAAGACTTGTATAGAGAGATTGAATAGTTCGGAAAATACAAAGTATTTTTACCAATCTAATATATAAATCATCCTTCGTTTCCTGCTCTATTCCTTTAGATCATGTCGCATCAACGACAATTATGTATCAGCCGCTATGGCAACGATTAGTGGACAGCTTTCATAGAATATAACTCTGTCTCCGATCCGTTTGTTTGGCTTCACTTCTTGACATAAATTTGTCAAGTTAACATAATCGTAGTCAGGTAATCCAATAATAATTTACACGCTGAAGGTCGAAGATGGATTGAAGGCAGAAACCAAGGCGGAAAAGACCGTGGATCGCATTGTTTTTTCTACCACAAGATCTGATACTTGGATACAACTTGTATTTGTATCTCGACCAATAAAGTGTGCGTGGTTAATAAACTGTGAGCAGATCGCTTAACAGTAAAGATGCAACACCTATACAGTCAACCTCTTTATATTCCCCCAGTTATAAGCACATCATATAAAAATCTCTTTATTAGCACACCATATTTTGAGAACCAATTACTATGGAACTTATAGAAAAACCCTCATACAGTCACAACCTCTTTATAAGCACAAAAGTTGCATTGTTCCCGACGGTTTGACCATAAAGAGGGTCGACTGTAATTATAAACTAAGACTTCATCAGCTAGTACTGGTTCAGGTGTATCATTCAATTGAATGGGTAGTTATAAGTGTTAAATATACTAATGGGGATGGGTTGATGCAACTGTGATATTTGTTTTATGGAAAAACTCACTCGCCAGAGTATGTGATCGAAAGTGAATGTGGCCGTACCTAATCATTAGACACGCTGTCAGATTTAATTCATTAGTTCACTATCAAATAAAACATACTATTACTACACCTTTTTTTTAATTATATGGACAAATCTTACAGGAGTAACTGTTAACAACCACTCACGTAGTTGTTTTCCAGCAATATCTCCTGATATTAAGACGGAACATTGCGGTTGACCACAGCATGTGGCGGGGGTGTACAGATTTCCTATTAATATATAAATTAAATATTAAAATTAAGACACTACGCAAACGTAGTGACAAAAGTATAGATGAATGATGCATTACGCAAAGGTAGATAAACTTTCGCCGCATTACCGTACCATTTCACGTCAGTATTACAGTATTAGCGTTAGTAAAAGATGATTATCTTCTTGGTTTGGTTTGGTTTGGTTTGCTTGTTTGTTTATCTTCTTATTAAAACAGCTTAAACTGGCGCTTTAGCAAGCATCTTGTTGTGAATAAAAGTTCCCAGCGCGTAATCTTGTAATACTTTCCTAGAAAGTCCCCGTAACATGACCGTAACGTAAACATCTCCAAAAGGAAATCTATCAGGTGATACAGAACGATTATTTCTTTATATTTGGTATTAGTAACGAAGATAAATGGGACACATATCAGTTGAGAATTATTCTATCACTTCTTGTCAGCTGAAAAGACGATGTGATGTATTATTAATTAGCAAAAAAATTTACTACAACAATTAACATGAGTATTTATAATAAAAATAATAACGTTGAAAGCAATTTCTATGCCGCCGCTGTTGTTATTATTATCAACAATCCGCATGATTTAGATAAAATTTCGGTCATAGTAGATTGTGACGATACCAGAAGTTCTATGTACAAGCAAATTCGGTATGATAATGTCATTATTATTATTCATAAAAGATTTACCAAATTGTAAAGGATACAATAGGTTATTATCTTATAATCTGTAAATGTTAGGAGTGCCAAGCGGTCAGGCGAATAAACAAATAATCTGCGTCTTATAATTATCTTAATATTCACTTTTTTATCTTTCAATGTACCGACGATAGAAATATCAAAGCGAACATCATGATGTTTCGAATCGATATTAATGTAGTCCCTAAAGTCGAGACGTAGAAACGAATAGTTGGTTTGCGAATATGACGTTTACCATCACAAATATAACATTGTGCATTTACATAAATATTAATGTTTCGAGTATTTTATATTTATTATTATGTAAATAGATTATTCTGTCGCCGCACGAGTGTATAAAACAGCGTTTTTGATAACCTTATTATTATCCGACATAACCATAAAGTGTTTCTTCTTATAACTGTTGCGCAAACGACTTAATAATTAGTGTGATGTTGAGCACGAGGAAATTTTGGAATTTAAGAAAATATTTCAAGAGCATAGTCTAGAAATATCAATTCAAAAAGAAATATGAGGAATTGAAATCAGTTTTTAACTGGGGAAAATACGCTAATACCGATAAGATGCATTCCCATATTCTCGTCAAAACGTACCCGATATAGTGTCCGAATAAATTACAATTAGATAAAGACCAGAATATTGAAACAGCAAGTGGATCTTTGAAACTAGTTTTCCTATATGGTCTAAGTTAAAGCTGTTTGAATATTCTTTAAGCTCTCATCATATGTTGGGTATCCACTTTACGTTTTAAGGAAGAACATAGTAAAAAATGCCGATATCTTTTTGAGACGAAAGAAAATCTCGCACAAAAGCCTTAATATTAAAAGCTTGTTACAATGAGGAGCTAGAATTAACGGTTGAATTCGGGAGTCATGAACAAGGAATCAATTTATTTTCACAAAGCCTAAAAGCCTCAGCCAATCGCGATCAAAAAGCGGAGATAGGCGTAGTGTTAGGAGAGTACCCGTAAATTATTTCCCGTGCAAATTTCAATTATTGGTACATCACATATCACCCGAGCATAACGATCGATAAAGGCGCGCATTTAATCTGCGTTCCCCGCCATCATACGACTTGGTACGACCAATAGAATTTACAAATTAGCACGTGATTAGAAATTTGAGGTAGAATTATTAAATATCTTTGTGCTGTTAAATAAAAAAGCTATCGGATATATTAGCTTGAAAGCGAAAGTCTATCTAGTCGTTTAATGACTATCAAAAGCTCATCAGAAATTAAACTTGCAAATTCATTAGATCTATGAGAGACACGTGTAAATTAACAATGATTAGTACGACGAGAAAGTGTACAAAAACTCGGAAATACGCGCAGTACTGGCTATGACAACCACTTTGTCTCGTTATGGACCAGTATATTACTAATGGTATGCATGCATCTGCAGCAACGTATTTATATATAAACGCCAAGCTAACCAGCATTGCTGCCCATTTGACGCGTTCTATTCCTACGCCTTTACATCCTACAATGTCCGTTATTGTTATGCTTGCTGTTGCTGTCGTTGCTGTCGTTGCTGCTGTATTCGCAGTTGGAGCAAGCAGTACCACCGTCTCCAGGACGAAAAAATCCTACAATATTCATGTAAAACGACGTTTATCCAATGGAGAAGAAGAGGGATCGCCTCCTACCAAGACTACTACGAGTATGTTCAAGTGCCATTAAAATTGATGAATAGTGATAGACCTTTAGTAAATTATACATAGTCCGCTTTAACCTACACATTCAAATAATTATACTCTTAAACTTACCCACTTTCGGAACAAGACCGCACGATATAATTCTCTTAAACTAATTCTATTTATTCGTCGTTCTGCAGCGACATACCCAATCTTCTCCCCAAGACTTAAGTCGGAGATAATATATTCATATCATGGATCATTGATATTTGGGGAGCATCGAATTGACAAGAAAAGAGTCGAAGCACGAACAAAGATTGCCGCATTTGATTTGGTAGGTGGAGTGTATATTAGGTAAAATGGAGATTGGAAGCTGAACATTCGACGCAATAGGGAATGAAAAAATATGATACAAATTTGTGTTAATTGTCATGCGGGTTTCAGAAGAGATTCTGACGGTATACTACGTACTAGTATGGTAAATGAATATTGATTTACTCTCTCCATTTCGTTCTCCAGGATAAGACATTGATCAAAACTAAAGGGAAATCGAACTATCCTCGGGACGAGCATGATTGGTTGTGGTTGTATAAAACCATACCCAGGCAATTGAAACAAGTATATGACGAAGGGTGAGCTATTGATGAGACTTGTTGACCATTAGCAGTGTTATTGTTAATGCAGATCTGTATTTTGAACAATAGATATAAAGTTGTCATCATAACAAACCAAGCTGGACTGGATATAAAGAAAAAGTCTGAAAAATTGCGAAAAGATTTTCTCAATAAAATACGTCACATATCAGCTCAGGTACTACCCAATACTTAACAAAGTCATTATATGTATTCATGTTTGGCACGTTATTAATGCCTTGATGTATTTTTTTACCTGACTGCAATAGCTTGAAATTCCATTTCAAATATTTATCGCTACTTCCAAAGATAAGTATCGTAAACCTATGACTGGAACCTGGTGGTATCTGACCGAAAAATGTAATGCGGATGTGTATGTCGGTATGTTGAATGTTGGCATTAAAAGTTATGGGAAAGAATTATCATAAGAACGTCTTAACGATTGTTGAAATTTGTTTGAGGTACTGCAGACATAAGCGAGAGCTTTTATGTTGGTGATGCTGCAGGACGTCCGACAAATTGGAAACCTGGAAAGGCGGCTGATTGGGCTGATACTGATCGGTAAATTATTTGTAATGGAAATCTCGGGTGGTAAATTCTTCCTTTTTAAGAGATGACAATTGTTTGAATGTTAACTATTATTTGGAATTATATTCTACATCGGGCATTTAGTAAGTTTGCAGAAAATATTGGCTTGAAGTTTTATACGCCAGAAGAATACTTTCAGGGAGAAGCAGCTGTGCCATATTTTTATGGTGACTTTGATCCAAAGGACGTGAAAAATGGTATTGCTACACGTCTAGTTTATGCAAGTTTAGTCCAAATCGCTGGGTGGTTGATTAACACCTGTTTCAACTTCAAACAAAATCTTCTCAATATTCAGTTCCCCTTTTTACACCAAGCGATACACCCCTTGTTCCAGAACCGCCTCACCCAGAACTAATTATATGCGTTGGCCCGCCCGCTATAGGCAAGTCTACATTCGTCAAAAAACATCTTATTCCAATGGGATACGTTCATATCAACCAAGATACTCTCAAATCTCGTGTAAAGTGTCTCCAAGCCAGCCATCAAGCATTGGCCGCTGATAAAAGCGTTGTTGTGGATAACACTAATCCTGATATGAACAGCAGAAAAGAGTTTATCGATATAGCAAAAGTTTATGGTGTTCCAACTAGATGTTTCTGGTTTGTTGGTGGAGAGATGCTGGCTAAACATAACAATTCTTATAGATCTCAAGCTGATGATGAGGTATGCAGAACTAGATGTAATAATAAATGAGCATGCAGGCTGAACATTGGTGATGTCATATTAACTGATGTTATACATTCTTTTTTTAGGGAAAGTTGATACCTGATGTTGCGTACAGAACATTCAAGTCCAGATTCGAAGAGCCTACGCCATCTGAGGGGTTTGCAGAGGTATGGGAAATAAATCGAAAAATTTGTGATAGGGCCTATTTGTCAAAAAAAGTCTCACATGTTATCATTCTTATTATAGATCAAACAAATCAACTTTATATTCGAAGGTACTGATGAAGAACGGAAGAAGTGGGGGATGTGGCATTGCTAAGTAAACGATAGACAATCTTATTATTAATGTGAGAAACAGTGAATCTGAAACTTTTGCCTTGTGTGAGCGTAGACACGATAAAAAACATTATTATGTACTATTATTATTTCCTTCAGCAATGAGGGATTTGTATCACGCATAGATTTGAACGTCTTGTATGGAGTATATAAATAAAGATTACTACATCCGAAAATGGTTGTACGCTAACGAAGCTAGATTCGCGCTGGTTGAGGTTTCGGGCTTTGTTGTATAAATCAACATAAATTCCTTCTGAAAAAACTTCACTTACTATTAATGCGTACGGAATTTAATCCCTTGGGTAGCTAGTAAACTCGAACGTAGAGAAATGATTACAAATTAGCATTTTTTGCTGTTGTCAGAAATCAAAATAGCAAGCCAAATTTATTGAATTAAAGGCTTTTGGACATTGTAGCAAGTGTTATTTCTGATAGGTCATAGAAAATAGGCCTATAAATCAAACTTGTTGATGTTCTATCCACATCAGCCTCCTTCGCTCACATGATAGAAGTTCACTTTGTCTGGTTTGTTGCATCTGCTTCACATATTTCAATAATTGAAATAGTTTCTTCATACAAGTCTACTTGAATGATTCCGGTTGGATATGGGGCGTGCTGCAGCAAAACGAAAAATATTGTTCGCGAAAATGTTCGGATTACATGGAAATATTCAGGTTGCAACTTTCGAAATGCTTATTATTATGATAAACTCGATCACAAAGTAAACGTGTTTTATTCATATTTGTGGTAGGGAAATGTCGAACTTCAAATAGTAACAAACTTAATCATTTATCTTTCCGTTTCCCACGGAGTTCTCTAAACGGTTACGAAAAAAAGACGGTTATTCGCGTTTACAATATTTTAAATACCCGGCGGGTGCCAGACGCAACGTCCAGATCTATCACTACCAAGAAAATTGCATCGGTCCTCCACATCCTAAACTTTTTTGCGATTAGAGACAGATTATTGTACGCGTTTAAAAAAAAGTGAGGTAATTTTGGGGTTTTGGAAAGGTACGAAAATTTGGATTATCGATCGATAGTGACGGTGAACTTTTCGAAATTGAAGAAATGACGGCTAAACATTGTTGCCAGCATACATAATTTACGCCGATACATTTCTCAAAACCCACTTTGTGAACCAATTTATTTTGGCAT